AGGGAAAGAAGATACAGAGGAAAGGCAAACTTTGCTACGTGAATTAGAAGAATTGAAAGTTAAAGAGGATCAGTTGAAAACACAAATTACTAAATTCAGCGATGCTGATCCAGAAGTTATTGCTAAACTTGGAGAAAAAGCACAGGTATAAAATTATTAAAAATATACAATTTACCTTAATTACAGCTTCGTTATCTTTCAGAAATATAAAGAAGCTACAAATACATGGACAGATAACATTTTTGCTATACAAAGTTGGTGCAAAAACAAATTTGATATATCCCAAGGATGTCTTAATAAACATTTTAACATTCCAGATGATTTAGATTACAAAGAATAAATATATTTAAAATCCTATATGTTTATTTTTTATACATACCATTCGACTAAAATTCCTTTTGTGACATTTACCATGATTTGTTTTCTTTCGCTTTAAGCAAAAGAAATTAAACGTTTACTTCGTTTATAATTCGTATACAACATTAACATGTATGCGATCAACCATTGAATACGTTCGTCTCAAATCTCTAGATGGGAAAATCAGTTTAGTAACAATTGTCGATATGAATCCTAGTAACAAAATTTTATGTAACCATGATTCATGTGTAAATTGACAATATTTTTACAAATTAAGATAGATATATAAAATGAAAAGACAAAACATAACAAATCCTTAATACTATTGTATTGTACGTCATTCAATAAAATTTAAATTTTGTATGGATTATATTGCCAATCACAGGTAGAACTTCAGTAATATTTTACTAAAACGCCCCCTGTAAAAGCATTTCAAGTTTCCATGAACTATTACATCAGCCATTAAAATACCCTGTGTTCAAGCTCAGAGGAAACCAGTAGTTATACATCGATCGAAGCATCTATTGAGAGTCAGACTACAGACGACAGTGATATTTTGTTCACGTGGGTGTTAGTCACTTAAAGTAAGTTCAATTTTCTTTTTTTTTTTTTTTAAACATTTGGAAGTACCGATCAATATATTTATGAATATATTTTTTTGTTAAATTATTATTTCTAATAGAAATTTTAAAAAATTGTGTAAATCGTTAAAGGATTTACTTTGAAATTTTATTATGCATGGCGTTTATAACACGTGTAATTGAATCATGGTTCTTGAGAATCCGTAATCGACAGAACTATAAAATTTGTGATTATATTTTTGTAATAATTTTCATTTCTTTTATTGAAGTACAAAATTAACGTTACGTAACCCAACTATCCTTGAACTGCTGCTCTATTATTACGTTTTCGTTACTAAAAAGTTTTAAGTTTTTCAATAAAATTCAGTCTTCTTATTTCTAGTAATTAGTGTTAATAAAAATATTAAAAATTTGTATTAATACATTTATAATATTGAGATTATAACGTATAGGTGACATGCATGTGTGTTTAAGACTTTTTTTTATAAAGTAATTTATTTTTGGTATTTTGCGTGTTTGTACGTTTAGTGTTTTACGTTTATATATCAAGTATTGCGTAATATTTGACGTGTGTTTATTTAAACATTTGAATAAATCATTTTTTTTATAAGTTATCTTTTTATGTTACCATAGTTAATATAAATGTATTACTTGTATTATGATATTAGTTTTGTAATTTATTTTGTAAATTTTGTATATATTCATGGTTACGTTAGTTTTTTATCCATTTGTAGTTGTAACAATGTGCATGGACTGACAGTGCAACACTGAAGCATAAAATGCGATTTATTTAAGGAATTTATGAATCAGATGTTGATTTATTAAATTCTTATTCCGATTAGATTAGATTGAGATACTGTATTCAGACATAGTTCATTTGACCTTTAGACAAATGATAATGACGTCAATGTCATAATTGCATTAGAAATCAAATTCTTTTATATTTTATATGAAATATATTATTGTCTTATTACATCTCTCCTTTCAAAATTTTAATTACTAACTAAGTAATAATTTCAAATTATTATATTCTCGCTTACTATTCTGTGTGTCGAGTACATTTTGACACGTGTTGAGCGGAAAATATAACGCGCTTCAAATATCGCAAAAAGAAAAGTGAATCAAAATTATTGAAAATTTATCTTATAAGCACAGTGGATTGACAAAGAAATGTCAGAATGTATATTATTATGTAAAAAATTTGTTTCAGACTAGTAAATAATGGGCGTTCCGGCTGGTGATCCAGAAAAAGGAAAAAAGGTAATAAAAATTAAAAATACAAAAATTTTAATAATTGTTTTGTATGTTATTTAATTCTAAACGTGATTAAAATTTTGTTTACTTTAAATTTTTATCTGAAAACGTGTGTGAAATTTTGGTCTCGTGACGTATGAGAAACGTTGATACATACGACGTAACACGTGATTCAACGTCACAAGAATTTTAATTCCCTTAGACATGTGATGGATTTGACGTTTTATTTCGATTTTTATGCGCTTCAATGGTTATATCGTGACTACTATTTACGTTTGAAATAAAATTTCTATAAAATTAATTTTCATTGTTCTTGTATGAAATATTTATTTATGTTTTAAATATAATTTTTTCTTTTTGATAGATTTTTGTACAAAAATGTGCCCAATGCCATACAATAGAAGCTGGTGGTAAACACAAAGTAGGACCTAATCTTCATGGAGTAGTAGGTAGGAAAACTGGGCAGGCACCAGGTTACAGTTACACGGATGCAAACAAAGCAAAAGGTATATTTTTCTTCAAAGTATTTTTTAATGTAATAATTGCAGCTTTGAAAAAAAACATAAATTATTTACATATTATTTTAGGCATCACATGGAATAGGGATACCTTGTTCGAATATCTTGAAAATCCTAAGAAGTACATTCCCGGTACAAAAATGGTGTTTGCTGGTATAAAGAAACCTCAAGAACGTGCTGATTTAATTGCATATATGGAACAAGAATCTAAGTAAGCTTAACACTTATCGAAAATGATGAAGCACGCTAGACGTGCTTGACCGATATAGAGAAATTTAGTACTAATTTCATTTCAAACCTCATGAACATCCTACTACAATTCATTCGATTCATTCATTGATTCTTCCTCATCTGGTACTCAAGAGTTTACGAAGTCTGAATAGTTACAAATTGTTGTTAATTATAAGTAGGTGTGTCATTCATGTACACTGACAGGAGTTGGACTAGAATTATCTAGAACTAGCTCTGCTACGTAATTAAAGATATTTGAGTGCTCTCTTGCGGTGGCTGAGCCATACATAGATTGTGCACTATTATTTATTTGTGAACTGTTAAAATTGTCCTATGAACTGTTACAATGTAATACAGGAATATGACAATATAAGTTTGACGATAAATTTTTAATTTCCATTTTTGCTGTATTAACGAAAACCAAGTATTTCAGTGTTAAAGATATACCAAAGTACAAAAAGGCAATAAAGTGATATGCCATGTTAATAATTTACATTACAATTTCACTGATATTAAAAGAATTGTATTAATTATGTGAGGAAGGAAATAGTGTCAATAGTAAAAGTTTAAGAATTCTATTCGAAAAAAATGAATGGAAATAAAATAAATAAAATAAATAAATTTAATTGTACTAGTTTAAATATTAAAATCCATATTAAAATAGTTAATTTAGATTAGTATTTGTATTACTGTGATAAGAAGAAGGAAGGATGCGGTTAAAAACGCCAGGAAGTAATGGCTTATTCGCGTTTTTATACAATCTTCTGGCAAGAATTACCGCATTTGAACTTGGTAGTTCGTGAAATTACTTTTCGTTCTTCACTTTCAACTTTTAGTTTGAATTTACAATGGAAAATACTTCCGATGCGTTTAAAGAACAGGAGACATCGAGTGATAATATTAGTCATGTAGGGAA